AAGGTCAAATTATACGAGAAAGAGCCGATACTTTTAAAACGAATAGTCGAAGGAAGATTTATTATAAACTTCTCTAAAAACGAAATTTAATAAATAAATTTAACAGGCTTTTATTAGCATCGAAATGCTTTCAAAGATAATTAACGAAAAGTCGTCAGATAAGGAAAACAAAGTTAATCAAATCCCGATAACTATGTAAACATAAACATAATAACATTAAAAGCAAAATGTGAGAGTAAACATGGACCAGAATTATAAGGATCTATTATCGCTTCTGTTAATTGTTGCAGAAAAATGAACCTTTCGCTCTTTAATGGACAATAATTTCACACACAAAAAAAAAAACTAATCATAATTTTTAACCTAAATAGCATCGAATTTTTGAAGTAAAAACTGCAATTTATTTATAAAATCTTTTAATATTTAAATAAATTATTTTATTTGAACTTAACAAACATTCAGTTGCGTGTATATATAATTTTATAAGCTTGGACATTTCTTTTCAAATTCTTTTTTCCTCTTAACATTAAATGAAAATATAAGTGACAGTAAATTTTATTAAATATTTTTGACAAAAATCGTACTAAAAGAGCTTTAAAATAAAAGAAAAACCTGATTAAACAATGACTTTTAGAGGAGGAGTGCAGAAGAAAGGAGTTTTTTGAAACTCTAAAATGACTTATTTTCGATAAACCGGTTAAATTTACATAAAATTTAAATAAATCTTTAAAAAAAAATAAATAAATCGAATCGAAAGACTTATTATAATATAAAAAGAATTCGAGTCAGAAAATTCGTAGCGGAGAAATTTTGTATTTTTAGATTTATCAGACGTCAATTAAAATTTTCAAATTCCTAAGATAACAATTTTATTCGATTTTTTAAATATACATTTTTTTTTCTTTTTTATTCGAGAGATCGAAGAAATAAATTCTCCATCGCGACCAGATGCGACACTTTTCCTTTCTTTTTTATATCATACTAATGCCTTTCGAATTTTTTAACCATAAATCTTTCGAGTTGTATGCAGAGTAATCTTATATTGCTCTTGCAGTAAACTCATATATTTACGCTCTAACTCGAATTAAAATTATATAAATTGTATTTTTACCCTTCTGTATAATGTCGGGCCGAATAAATTCTATCTTTTAGCTATTAAATGTACATAAATTATATAATTTTTAAGTCATTATAAGCTATTTCTATCTTATCGTAGTTATGTGAAACATTCTCTATACAAAAATCGTTATAATTTTGTGAAATTTTCGATATTTTTAAAAATATATAAAGAAAAAATGATTTTTACATTTATGTAACAATTACTTTAAGATATAACATAGAAAATAATATTAAAATTAAACGTTCCGATTAGAAATAGCATAACGAACAAGATTTATCAAAGATTATTATACCTTAACGATTATTGGCCAGTAAAATACAAATGGGAGGAGATAACCTAAATTCAACCAATCTCCATTTAAATAACAAATCCTACTTAAAATCTTTCAGGCTTTATATCTTAAATATATAACAAAGACGACTAATGTTAATAAATTTTTATAATTCGTATTCTACGATTAAGGATCAATATTCTTGGATGTTAAATTCTGTTTTAATTAGGGTTTTCTTTTTTAAATTATTTAATTTGATCAATTATGTATATAAAGTATCGATTTGAAATATGATGAACCTTTAACAACCGGCAATTTTAAGTTAAAATATTTTAAAATTTAAATAATTTATTGATACTGGATAATAAAATTCTTCAAACTTTATTATTTAGGAATTAGATTTAATCTCTTTTTATTTATTATTAGAATTAACCAGTTAATATTTTTGAAGAATATTAATATCTTTGATAAGAAAGAAGTTTCTGAAAAATTTTAACAAATAGGAGATAAGATAACAGCAGAAATTATCGTTAAAATGGATGAAAGTATCGAGAGAAAGACATAAAAATGAAATTTTGTGCACGACTCCCACAGATATAAACACTTTAATTATTTTTTAATAATAAAAATGAAACATTTTGAAGTATCAAACAAAAACAAAACTGTATTTTTAATATAAATAAATGAAGGAAAAAATTAAAACATGTCACAAAATTTGCTTAGTTCACTATAAAAGCTATATTATTAATAAGTTTCTCATTTCTTAATAACTGAGTAACTAAAAAAAAATCTTATCTTTCTTCTAATAAATCAAAAATGAATAATTTATGAAATTATAGATAAGAAAAACTTATTTTAATATTTTTATAAAATATTAAAATTTTCTTTCGGATCTCTTACTAAACTTTATTGAATTTGACGAGTTGAAAATATTAACTCCACTTTACACGTTTAATCTTTTATTTATTCAAGTAAAAAGCTATTTTTTTTTTAAACATCTTACACATATTTACTTTTTTGGACAGACATAAAAAAATCGTAAAACAAAATACGAATAACTTATGGTAACTTTGAAAATATCCAAGTAAAAACAAAAAAAATCATTTTTAGAGAGAGTATTCTGTTATTTTTGTAATAGCTTTGTGTGAAGTTTTCAGACTTTTCACGCCGTTTGAACCTACAAAACGATATAAAAACTATTCGAAAATTCCCATCGAGCTCTTTATATAGAGCTATATATATATATAATTTTCTAAGTGTCTGTCCATCACGCTCTATTTCTCGAGAAATATTTATTTCGAAGAAATGCAGTCGATAGAATTTTGCACCTTACAAAATTCCCAGGAAAATATTAACCTACCCATTTTATAAAAATGGCTATCGTTCTAACGCGTACGCGAGTATGTGTCATGAATAAAAGAAAGCATATATGTAGATAAGTAAAACTAATTGATAAATGTTACTTTTATATTAAAAAAAAAAGTAAAAACATTCATTATCTTGAACAATTTTTGCCAAAAAATAAGTAAAAATTTTAAAGGTATTTTCAAGTAAAAAAAGAGGAATTTACCGATTTATAATATCTTACATGAATTTATTCTGTTGTTATTGATAATTTACGAGTTTTGAAAATATTAGTATCAATTAAAAATAAATAGAAGCGCTGTATTGATATAACTCATCTTTAACAGTTCAAATCTCCTAAGTTAAGGATGACAAGCTAATCTCTAACCTTTGCGTGATTAGAGAAAGCTTTCAGTAGTTCACCGACACCTCATGAAAAATGATTTATAACATTTCGGAAGAGGACCACTCCACATCTACTCTAGTTAAGTACAAGCTCTGAGAGTTTCGCGAAAGATCTTTCTAAGGTTATTAAAAAAAATTCCTTTTAGTTTTTAAAAAATACCAGAAAAAAAAACAAAAATTGATCCGTCGGTGGACCAATATATGTGTTTTTCCCCCCTTTTTTTTATTATTTTCGTTTATACCCAAACCTTGCAATTGAAAATTCAATTGTAGCTTTCAACCGACTCGCAATTTTCCAAGCAGCGGATCAATGAAGATCCATCGAGTTTAGAAAATACAAATACAAATAATTTATCAGTTTACCTTCTAGATAAATGAAGTAAGTTACAAATAATTTTATAAATAAATTCTATTTAAAGTAAGGAAAGAATAGAAAAAAAATCGAAGTCAAAGATATAAGAAAGGGTGTCGTTTAGGAGATACTATCTACACTTCCGGTGACGTTCCCACATACAAACGACGAGACATAAATGGAGCAAGACCTATTTTCACTCGAACGCTAGCAAGTATTTGGGGACCACTCGGGGACGACGAGTAGACGTGTGCCATCGTTAAGTAACGAGCGTTAATTGCACGTCACGTTCTTCTCCTTCCCCGTAGTATTTATAAAGAGACAAGAGATGCTCCAAATCCAAAAAGAGAGGAGGGTGTATGGGTGGATAATTCTGCCCCCGGGCATTGGGAGATGCGAGACGAAGGGTCGCTCCCACAACCCAAATACGGGGGAGATCGTAGCAAGGCGTACAATAAACAGCGCAACCTGTTCGTTAATATTTTACTACGAAAATTACCTTAAAACGTCACACGAATTACCGATTGACGAATGTGGTACGTAAACGTCACGTTGCACTCGAATTTACGCATCAACGAAATCAATTTGTGGTAGCTCTCCGGAGATATCAATTACATTTTTTTTTTTTTTTTTTAGTAGTTGAGATATTTCTCGTTAGTTTCAGGATAAAGATATTGTTACTATATATGTAAAGTTACACACACGGAAAAAAACAACCTGGATAAATTCAATCAGGTAGCTAAAGTTACGAATAATCGGATATGGGAAGAAGATTTCTTCTCGCTGTTACGTGCAACACAAAAAAAAAAATGTTAAAAGAGTAACGTTACTCGCCACCACTTGCACAAAAGGTATTAGATAAGTTTACACCCAAAATTCGTAAATGCCAGTTGTTAACCCTCTAGCTTGTTACCAAAATAACTCGGGGTGAGACTTTGTTGTCGTGCAGCGTTTTTATATTTTGTTCCAGAGCACGTTTTGGGTAATTTACGCTTTAACTGACAAACAGATGGCAGACGGTCTCAGGTGATCGAACGGTTTTGGCCTCTTAATTAAACACACCTGCCCGGGCCACAGTCAATCTTTACAAATAATAATCGATCATCTATCGGAGAAAACAGAGAAAATATAACTCAAATTAATTTTTATCGACAACATACGCAAACAACGAGCTTTAAATTTTCAAAAAATGAATTTTTTGTACGATATTCTAATTGAAAAAAAAAAATCTAATTTTTTCACGATTTCGATGCTCGAGAGTGATTCGTGATGAAAGATCGTTAGACGTTTAAAAAAGAGTCTTAATTCATCGCGGTAGATCTGGATAAATGACAGTTAACGTTTGGAGCCGTGACTTCATCTGCGGCTCAACAGGGCAAACCTCGCCATCGGTGAACAGAATCTGAGATGAGTCATCGCGTGTGGTTCTTTCGTGTCTCTCACCACCCATCTAGACTTTATTAAACGTTTTGTAAACATCTAAGACGGTACAAAAACACAAATCTCACCTGCTACCACAGCCAACAGAGTTAAGTAGTAAAGGGCATGCCGCGTCCTCTCCTTCTGGATCATCATCTTTCAGATGGATTATCTAGTGCAAACCGCCATTATTTATATATAAATATCTGCTCGATCGCAGGTTAATTTTCTGTTTAATCTGCTTATAAATCACCTCGTGCCATCTCCTTCCTCCAATTTCTTCTCGGGTACTGACAATGGCGAACGGTACCCGATGACGTGAATATTAAGCATGGCATCTATCGAACCAATGGGGAAGAACGTTTGAAACAGACAGACTCCGAACCGTCCAATGAACTTATATGTAAGAAAAATCGATAAATTAGGAGCGGAAATAGAAAATTTTGTGTAGAACTGTCATTTTTAAGTAAGCTTCTTGTAAAATATGTTGTTGTATGTAATTAAAAATAGAAAAATATTAGCAGATACTAAGAACACACATTATAAACTTACAAAACTTTTCTTGGCATATTTTATATCCATTTTTAATTATTATAGATATAAACTATTCTGGATTAATTTATTATTTATCTACTTCTCATGTATATGTTTCTAAATTTTTTTTTCCTGCTGGTGTAAATAAAGAAAAAGAAGATGAAGCGAAAAATAAAGTTATTGTATCGATAGCTTACGTGATATCAGATTTCTGTGAAAGAAGATAAGTCTGTGTAACAAAAAAAAGGGATCAAAATAAATGCCATTTCCACATTTATAGTATATACATTATTAAGGATTTAGTCTACGTCTACAGTCAAACACATAGTTCTAACGTGAAAAATATTTTTTTCGCCATTTTTTTTGAAATCTTTACTTTGAGCTAATGTTAAAAATCAAAGGAAATTTAATAATATACATATATTTTTTTCTGAAAAATTAATTTCATTAATCTTAACAAGGCTATGATGCTTCAATTATATAAACTGTTCCGGGCCTCTATCATATGCGGTAATTAGATCATCCCTGCAAGAAAGAAGTAAACTCGATCATTTATACACATGAGTCACAAATGATCGTCTTTTTTCAATCCTGATAATTTTATCGTTAATTATTTTAGATAATGATAAAAGTAAATAAATGCAAAATCGAATTAATTTCTTCTATATCATATTCTAAGCTGCTTGCTCACGATTTTAAGAAGAATAAACTATGCTGTAATTGAGATTTACGTTAGTTTTATTGCTTTTAAGTAGCATCTGAAGAATGATAAACAAGATAAAAGATGAATAAGATGTTCTGTATAAACTTCCTCTCGTGTAATTATTTTTTTAACATTTTATTTTTTTTTATATAAATCTGGAATTGGAAATGGACGTGTTCTGAATTAATTGTTTTATTCACGTATTTTTTTTAAAAATAATAATGTAAACGGATAACGTATGTAAATTGAAATTCGTACCTAAAACTTGTTTTACAGTTGAGTAAATATAAAATGAAGATAGTGACGATTATAAAGGTGCTGTTGGTCTTCTCACGTCTTTTTTCCTTCGTGATCTCTTTTTGTGGACCTCTCTTTTCTCTACAGCCACCTCTTATTGAATATTTTCTTACTTTCAGGGCAGTTCTTATTATGGTTATCTCTTCTGTCTATAGCCATTTTTTTTTATGCCTACCTTTCCTATAAAGCCTTCTCTTTTCATTGGCATCTCCCTCTTCTATAACCACTTTCATTATAAGTTACCATCTTTTCCCCTGTGATCCCCTCTTTCGCTTACATTACCATCTTTTCATATGACCATTTTCTCCTATTGGTCACCTCTTCTCATAGACATCTCTCTCCTACAGGCCTGTATCCACTTTTTCTTATGGCCATCTTACCCCTATGTCCGTGTCTTTTCATATATATCTGAAACCACTTATTGTTGTATCTCTCTTTATACTCATCTGTTTTTACATTAGTCTCTTTCGTCCTCTTATATAAACTAGTCATTCCTAAATAAAACAGTTTTCCAACATCCGATCGATTTCGTTAAAACATCGAAAGCATAAAATACACATTTCACACAATTAAAGAATAAAATATAGGTCCTACATATATATTATATATTCTTATCAATTGTATAAAATATTTATAAACAGCAAGAGAACATAACTAATCATTTCACTCCTCGCTTCATCCCATATTTTGGTTAGACAGGAAACGATCCATCAGATCCATTCAAAGACTTTCCCGACTAGTTGTGACTGACAACAATTGTCATACTTAAACACGTGTACTATAACTAAACACATACAAAAAAATAGAATTCGTGATCTCCACAGTACACACGTCACGTTATACATAACAATAATAGCCTTTTCTACTTAAGATCGATATGAGAAAAATTAAATATAATAAATACAATTCGCAGCGTTTGTATATAATATATCCATAATCTTGTTGTTTCTTTTTTTTTTTTTTTTGAACACATCTTCCAGGAAGATGATTGATCTAATAATAATACTTCAATTCCTTTTTCGTATATCTAACTTAAGTCCATCATTAAAACGTTCTTAAGAGGGAAGATCTCATTCTACGTATCGATTGAATATGCAAATGTAAAAGATGATCTATCATTTTACAAAAGAATATTTTGAAAACGAATTTTTTCGGTGGTCATTAATACGAACGATCTTCTTTTTTTTTAAAAAAAACACTCCTGAAAAATACGATATTTAAAAAAAAATAATCTTAATAACTACATTCGATTCTTGTAAAAAAAAAAAAACACACACATTTGGAGTTTCCGTCTTTGAAATTTTAATTAATACAAAAAAAATTGATATTTTTAGATTTTGATATTTGCTAATCAGGGGACTAAGAGACGAAGTAACAACCCTTCTGTTGCTTAGAATTAATGTAGGATGCCAACCGTAGAACCATAATGAGGTACATTTAAAGCCTGTGGCCCATTTCCCTCTTTAAATTCGAAAGCTGCAGGATATAAGTGTCAAAGAGCGCAATTGAGTTTCACATCCGACCTCCGGAGGATTCTTTCCTGTTCCGAATTAATAACAACATTACCTCCTACGAAATTCACATCTTTAATCTCGAAAGTAAATTGATAGTTTAAATTCGAAAGCTGCAGGATATAAGTGTCAAAGAGCGCAATTGAGTTTCACATCCGACCTCCGGAGGATTCTTTCCTGTTCCGAATTAATAACATTACCTCCTACGAAATTCACATCTTTAATCTCGAAAGTAAATTGATAGTAACCGACTCTTTCGACTTTTTTTTTTCTTTTTTTATTACGGTTTATATGTTTTAAATTTATTTAAATAATCTATACTCGTCCGATATATCGACAGTTCGGTAAATATTTATAAAAATTTCGAGATCTCCCTGCTGCGAAGATAATAATTCATTTGCTGGCGGGAATTCCGGTTATTTTATAGTTTCATTGGAATAATTTTAGATAATTATTAGTTTATCATTCGTTCGCAGCTTTATATATATTTTATTTATTTATTTACTTCACATAAATTGATAAGTTAGCCTTACATAAAATAGCAATAACCCAGAAATGTTATCCAACTGGTTAAAAATTTACTAATAAACAACAACGTTAAGGAATTTTATTTTAATTTTTGTATTTTTAGGGATATTTTTAAGGATGTTTTAAGGTTGTATTACCAAATTTAAGAAGTGGAACGTACATTTGCAGAGCCGAATTTACGTATAAACAAGCTATGATTCAGTGCATCATGTTTCGAGGGGCTCGTTCTATTCACAAAAACAGTTTATACACAGCCTATTGCCCATTGGGTGAAGAAGGAAGGGTCTCATATGTTGTCGGTTTAAGACTACAACAAGTCTAAATCCTGCTCTGTACATTTCCTTTCAAATTAAAAAGTAGAAAACGAAGAGTGAGAATTTTTTTATGGATCCACAGCCATTTTATTATTATTATTCGCCAGCCACTCAACGAAAAAGTGCAGATTTCATCATAAAACGATCCAATGTTTGATTATTGACCTTTTACGAGTGTGGCAGCCGTTGTTTGATAAGAATACGCGCCAGAATTGTTTACTGTTTTAAAATATCGAGTTATAAAATAATAGAAAAAAAAATCTTCTAGATAACTCCATTAAAATATATTTTCGATCCTCCTTAACTTCTAAAACTTTATTTAAATTTATAACTTTGTAAACACATAGAGAAACATGTCACGTGTGGTTGTTGTTGTTGTTGTTAGTTTTTTAATTATTTATTTTTTTTAATTAAAAATATTCTAATTAAATTACACCAGTTGTGATTAGTTTGTAACACTTGTTACACAAGAAATTTTTAAATTAATTAATTTAATAAATGATAGAGAAAATATGAATTATAATTAATTGATTAAAAACGTGATTCTCGGAATTATATCTGGACTCTGACTCGACCGCTTCTCGTGTTCAAAAAAATTTTCTCTTGTTTTTTTTTTTGTAAGTAGACGTCAAACTGCTGCAAAGCATCGCTCAATTAACATTTTTAGAAACTTATTCGCTTCAAAATAATATATTACACTCGATACAAAAAATGTTGTTGAATATTTTATTAAAATTCCAGAGTTTTATAAGAGAGAACAATTAAAAAAAATTGTTATTTCTAATTATGGAAACGTAACGCGATAGGTCGAATGCTCGTAATTAAGATATAATTCTGAAATTATACAGAATCCTCTGAGTGAAACTTTAAACCGCTACATCCTACTGCTGCCATTTATCTCTCGACACTCCCCACTACAACTAGATTTACATGGATTGAAGTTTTTGTTTGACATTCTTCTAAATCCCCTAAATACTAGCGTTACTCCTATAACAATTCGAGATGTTAAACTCGATTATTTTATACTGTTAGGTCGACTATAAGGTAATTAGTTATACGACTATCATAAAAATAAAACCTGAAAGTTGTGTTGTTTAGTGGAGGTTTATCTATAATAATCATAAACAAAACTTTGCTTGTCACACCATCTTCTAATCAATCATCGGTCCATTCATTCCAGACAAGAAAATAAGTTACTTACCACTTACAAATCATGTTGAGGTATAAAAACTTGTTTTGCAACTGCATTTTATATCTCGTATAATAAATGTCACTTCGGAAATTAACTTCTAAGATTTAACAGAGAGATAAACCTCTTAAATCTTATGATTAGAGGCTAAATTTTTTATTTAAACTTAGAATTATCTTACTTGTTAGTCAAAACTTCTGCAGA